CGCCATGTGGTCACCTCCGGGGCAGGCGGGAATCGAACTCATGCGGAAGCGGCTCTTTAGTTTCTTAGTGCAGTGCTTTAACCCGCTGCGCCACCGGGGAGGGCCAAATAAATAAATCTTTTAAAAAAAAAAGTTTTTCCACCTTGGCTGCCCAAACTAAAGTGTGGTGCAAGAAGTCAGGGTAGTGGTTAGTTTTGGGAGGTAGAATGAGGAAGAGCATCGGGGAGCTTTTAAGGTGAGAAATGTTCTGTTCCTTGATCTGGATGTGTTCACTATATAAAATCCATCAAGCCACACACTAATAATCTGTATTTTTTTCAGTACAAATGTTATACTTTAGTAAAAAATTTCCTTCGAAAATACTGATATCTGGGTCTCACACTCATGGGTCCTTCAGGTGATTAGAATGTGCGGCAAAGTTGAGAATCGTTTTAGAGGAGCTGGTACTTTCAGGGCTCTCACCTGGGCCTGGGCTAGACAACCTCACGCAGGGCCTCCCTGCCTAACAGCTGACGCTCTGAGGTTGAGTGCCTATCCCAGGCTGACAGTGCCCAGGAAGTGCCTTTCAAATAACAGTGGGGGCTCCTTCCTGGTGGCACAACAGGTTAAAGAACAGCACTACTAAGCTGGGCGAAGCCGCCTCAGCCCCACAGCAGCTGCCTTAGCACGATTTGGATCCCCAGCCAGGAAGGTGACCCACATGGTGCAGCAGACCTCTCCTGTCTTATCCGCTGCTCCCGTCAGCAATGGACTTCATCCGTCTGCCTGTTCTGCTCTCCACTCTTGTCTCTGGTGAACCCTCTCACTTCTTTCACACCTCTGGCCTGTATCCATTCTGTATACATAAATAAACAAATCTTTAATAAACAAACAACAAAAAAACCCAAATAACAGTGGGCTGGGTCAGGACATTCCTACTTGTGCTGGAGAACGATGAAGGCCTAGTTCAGTGCTGACCTGAAGTCTCTCCAGGGCCCTGTGTTGAGGGAGAAGAGGTACCTAGGTAACAGAAGCTGTGAAACAGCAAGGGATGTTTCATGGTGGCGAGGCCAGAGGGCCAGAGGCCAGATGTGGCTCCAATGAGGTGGTCACAAAGTAGTTGCCAGTTCATGCCTCCACTAACTAGCCCCTCTTTATCTCCAAATGGAAGAAGCACTCTCTTTTTTTGTGATTCAGGCCTTTGCACACAAGACAACAGCCTTGGAAGGGCAGGGAAGGGGAGTTATCAGGCTCATTTTGCAGATGAGGAGATGGGGAGGCTCAAATCCAAAGTCACCTAGCTAGTTAGTAGCAAAGTCAATAGTTCTACTCAGTTTCAAAGAGAGCAAGCTTGTGTTCCACCTTCAAAAGCTTTGTTTCATAAATTCCACATGCATGTTGTCTTTACTCTGACATGTACTTAATCAATCTCATCCTTCTCAGGTGCAAATTAAAGGATGCAGTAGGGAGCTGTTCCATGCATGTCCTGTGGCACTGAGGGCCCAATAGACTCCTGCGAGCGTATGTCAGTTTGCCAAGCAAAACTTTAGCAACTGATCTTTATGTTAAGTCTTAATCGTTTAGGTTGCAGAATGTTTAAATGTGTTCAGCTCAGCTGAGGCCTATCTGCCCTTCTCTACTGCTAGCTCAGCATCTTGGGTCCTGCAGGTAGAGGTAGGTGAGAAGAACTGTAGCCCTGAATTTTTGGCTTTTGCATTTTTCTGTCTGATTTAATGACACATCTTTCTGAATCAGCAGACTTGGATTCGACCCCTGCTCCAAAGCCTGATCTTACCTTGGCCTGTGTCAGATTCCCAGCCTCACATGAGACTTAGCTGGGGAACACTGCTTCCTGGGAGCTGCAGTCACGCTCACTGGTTGCCTCGTGTTTTACTTGCAGCTCATGTCAGCTTCAGTTTCCCAAGCTCCATCCCAGACTCACTGACTCAGAAACTGAAGGGAGCCTGGGAATGTGTACTTAAACACATATAATTTGTGTTATGCTCTATATTAACATAGGTGACCTTAAAGGACTCAAATGCATAGCTCTGGTTACAAGACTAGCACAACCCTGTTGTTTTCATGAGGAACACAGGGTACACGAGCTAAAATGCAGGCTTTTTTATGTCTCCCCGCCACCAGCCTCTACGACTACCACCTGTGGCCTTGGTCATGTTAACGCAGAGGCGCTTGGAAATGTGGACACCTGGACCCAATAAGCACAGGGCGCACACATATGTAAATGCACACACTTGGGCCTAGAAGCGAAGGCAGCATGGGGAAGAGGAGGATAGCAGCATGATTACAGAACAGGAGAACTGACAGTACGGAGATTTGTGGGGGGTGGGAGGCAGACAGGGCCCTGCCCGGTCCCCCTCCCCCTGCCTGCCTCCCTGCATGCCAGCCCCCCTGCACGGTGTACTTGTGTACTTGGTTCAGCATTAAAAGGCCTGGAAAATCCCACTGAGGACCCCATGCTTTATCTGTCTGCCTGCGTTGACAGTGAGCCTGCCCTGTGCATACCTGCTCTGCAGGAAACTGCAGCCCAGACAAGGAGGGAGACCTGCCCAGGAGAACACAGCAAGTCGATGGCAGCCCCCCATCCCAGCATGCTTTGGGGTTTCCAAGGCCTCGCTTCTGCCCAGGGGAGAGGGTGGCAGAGGCCTGTGAAGCTGGGGAGCCCTGAGATTAGGCAGGAGGCCGCTATCACTTCCAAAGAGAAGTTTACTGTTTCTATTTATTGACTCTTTAAACTTCATCATCCAACAAAAGTTATACATGACTGTTTGGTAGCAAGAGAAACATAATCTAAGACCGCAATGACCCACCCACCCCAAACAAAAACAGAACCAAACAGAACAAAACAAACCCCACCTGAAACCAGACCTTTGGAGTTGCAGCTGAAGAAGCAAGGGGATGGGAGTAGGTTGCCCTAAAGTAGAGCCTTCCAGGTGAAGAGGCCGCGCCTGGCCCCTCGGCTTTGGGTGTCCTTCCTAGTGAGGCTGCCTTTGGCAGGACAGGGTGCAGAGGGAAGGATCAGTGGTCAGAGCGAGGGGGCTCTTCAGTGCCCCCCTGCCAAAGTGACCATATGTGCCAGTGCATGAGACACAGGGGTGGGTGCTGGGTGCTGAGTGCCAGGAGAACAAGGGCCCTTTTTTCTTTCCTGTTTAGGCCAGTAGAGAGCCTTGTTCATGGCCCCGTCAGTGTTCCCAAATCACAAAACAGCTAAAGGCACTGCTTACAAGCTAGGAAATGCCACGGTCCCCCGAAGGGAGTCAATACCCCCCAGTAGTCATCTTGTCCTGGATGAGCGGGGGACTTTTCCTTGGCTCTGGGTAGTGGAGGGCAGTCCCGTCAGGACAAGGCAGTGGGAGGTGTTAAGAGGCTGTGTTTAGTGCCCTGAACATGCAGTGTGTGCACAAAGGGGTGCACATCTGTAACAAGGGGGACTGAGCCCTCTAGAAGGCTTGGTTAGGGTCCCAGGGTGGCTCCCAGGGCAGGGATAGGAGTTTTTTCTTCTGTCATTTTACCAAATCACCCCCCTGTCCCAGGTCATTGCATAAATAAGTGCTTGGGAAGGAATACATCTAAAAAGGAACATAAATACTGTACATGGGAAAGGATTTCGTCCCCCCGTCCTCCCACTGCCCCCAGAAAACCCTCCAAATATTGCACGTGGCCCTCCCCAGCCCTGTGGGGTCCAGGCCCGGCCGTGTCTTTGGTAGAAGCTCCAGGGACAGCGATCCTGTGCAGCCCACATGCCCTTCTTCCCCTACCCCCATCATGACTGGAGGCACGGAGCAGCCAGAGTCGGGAAAGGCTGGGCCCAACTGGCCAGCAGGTGTCCGTCAGGAATGCTTCAGAGAGGCTGAGAGGGAACCCCTGATCAGACACTCCTGGTCAGAGTCTGTACGTGGGCTAGGAAGAGGCAAGCAGGCTGAGGGCGGGGGATGGCACGTCCCGGGCCACAGTGGACAGGGTCACACCCTCCACAAGAGGAGGTGGTTTGTGCTGTCATCTCGGCCCACAGTCTCACTGCTGCCTCCACCCCAGCTGCTGAGTCGGAAGTCCTCGTAGCCATCACCTCCACTGATAACCAGCATTTTAGGCCTGGCAGAGGCAGGGCCTCTATGCCGAGGGGAGTCCCGGTGGTCCAGCGATGGCAGCTTCTCAGAGCCTGGAGGGCAGAGGGGAGATCTGTTAGCCTGGGGGGTGACTGGTGACCTCACTGCTCAATTATGGCCTGAGTTCCCTTACCCTAGAAGACAGGAATAAAGCCATGCACGCTTTCCACAGAGGATCCCACTTCCCGTCAGACAGAACTTCCTATCTGGAAAGAAATGCCTGCTTCCTGGCAGTCAGATTTCTTACCGCACACCTGCACTTCCTAGTCAAGAGTGATAGAACTTTCCAGGGCCACACCACTCTAGCATCTTGATTACTATGCAGACTGTCCTCCAACACTGCTCGCTTCTACTTCCCACAGCCCAGTCCCAGGGAGGCAGCTGAAGTCTCTTCTGGACCCCAGACCCTTGTGTCCTACTAGGTTTTCCTGCTGCCCGATTCCCACAGCCCTGACAAAGCAAGACTTTGTTTATGGTGACCTCCTTGGCGTACACATCGTTTCCTAATGTTTCACTTTCTAAGCCTCGCCGCCCAACCTGTTCTATACACCATTCTACATTCTACCTTCTGATGCTATTTCTGTTTCCTGTTCTACACATCACTTCCGTATGAATAATTTTTACTTCTACTGTCAATGCCTCTCCTGAGCCATATTTTAATGCAATCTGACATACACAGCCCCCTCCCAATATCCTGGAAGATTTCATTTTGGCATTTCTATGGCCTACTTCCTACGATACGACACTTCCAACTTGGCATCACACTCTTCCTCCCTCTTAAGCCCCTTCTGGAAGGACAGTGGGAGCCCTAAGCCCAAAGTCCAGCACCCTCGGGTTTGGGTAGGAGGTGCAGACCCACCTGTGTCTTGGGGAGGTGGCGGAGTTGGGCAGAGCAGGTTGAAACCATCTGGCAACTGGACTGCGGCCAGGAAGCGAACATGGCCAGTGTGTCCCTGCCCTAGACCAGCAGGGTTGAGGGGTGCCCGTGGGCAGCTGACCGTACTGGGGGAGGTGGGCATGGTGAGCACCACACCAGCACTGGTGCCCACCCACAGCAGCTCTCCACACACCAGCAGCGCTGTGATCCTCAGGCAGGCAGCCTTGTGCTGCCGGATGATGGCATCGGAGCCTGCGGTGGGAGACAGACCAGAGCTGGGGCCCAATCCTGGCGCTGGCTCAGGCTCCTCAGTGACAGGGGCAGCATGGGACTGAGGGCAGGAACAGTGGTGGACTGAGGTCATTACCTGCCAGCATCCTGTGCACAGGAGGTGTGACATCTACCTCTGCCAGCTGCTCGAAAGTCTCTGGATGATAGAGACACACGTGGGCACTACCTTTCAGGGTCACCCATACACCCAGGCTGGAGTCCACCATGCAAGCCACGTTGCGGCTGGAATCCTGCCCCACACAGAACGTGTGCTGGTGGAGGCAGAGAGAGAGCAGGTGGGTGACTGGCAGACAGGCCTTCCCCAGCTCCTCCCTCCTTGTGCTTCACCAATGCCCATCTCTCTCTCCTTATAACTTATACCAACCCCCTCCAGGAAGCTCACTCAGACTGACACTAAGGCTCCTCCCAGCTTTCCTCCTGGTCAGGATGATTAACCTTTCAAAGCCTGGTTTCACAGGAGCCTCCCCACTTAATCCTTAGAAATTAAGACAAAGGTGCCCTTTCCCCCTGAAACTTAAGTGATTTAATGATCACTTAACGATTTCAAAGCTGGTGGGTCTGACTCCCATATTCTCATCTACTCAATTCTGACTCCCATATACTCATCTCCCTCTCCTAAAGGCCTGGCTCACCCAAAGCCACTAATTCCTTCCCCAAACTCCCATGCTACCTCCAGCTGCAGCGTGTCAGGGCTCAGGACAAGGACTCGGTTCTGGCAGCCACACCACAACCTCCCACCCACAGACACCATCTTGGTGATGGGGCTCCCCTGAGCACCCAGGGTCACTGATTTGAAGTTCTGGGGGTCCCAGAAGCGGCCTGCAATGGGAATGGGGTAAAGAAAATGAAGCAAATTCAGTCCAGTTTTGCACCTGAACCTCACCCAACCCAGACATGAGGCACTAACAGCCCCATTTATAAATGAGGACACCAAAGCTCAGAGAGGGCCTGAGAGGTGCCTAAATCACATCTCTGGATTTGTGGCCTTATGGCCTGGGAGGGAGCTTCAACACCAGCAAGGGGCCGGAGGGCTAGGGGAGGGGAACACCCACCTGCTTCTCTTTGGTAAACCACAAGTTCTCCATTGGCCAGAGACACAAACACCTGGTTATTCAGATACCTAGACAAGGCAAAAAGGAGTTGAGGCTTTCAGAAAGGAGGCCAAAGTAGGTCACCTGGGGCCAGGAGAATCAGACAGAATTGCTGTTTCCCGTTTTACCACCTCCACCTGCCCTCCTGTCCGTGAGGTGTAGTGCCTGAGTCTAAGTTGTGACTTGCCCAACCAAGGTGCTATGTACGGAAGAGGCACAGCCAGCCTAGGGCCAGGCTTCCGGCCTCTGGCCTCCACAGAGAGGAGGGACTGTTAGAGCAGAAAACCCAAGTAAACGGAAGGAGGCCTGTCTGTGGAGCGGGACAAGAAGGGCCACCCAGGGGCCTTACAGAATGCAGGTCACAGAGGCCGAGTGCTGGAGCTTCATGCTGTTCCTGCGATCACGGATGCTGTCAGAGGACTGGTACACGTGAACACTGCGGATCAGGGGTGTGCACTTGAGACAAATGCCTGGGCACACCAGCCCCTGGCTCATCCCTCCACCTCTCTGCCTCCACTACCATCTCCCCCATGCCAGGTGCCAGACCAAAGCACAGAGGCCCCACAGCCTCCTTGGTGTCGAACCCACTGGCTAGCAGTACCCTTCAGATATGACTCAAAGCCATCCTGCTTCTAATTTAGGATGCCATATGAATTCCTAAGCACTGAGCTTAGGGTTCTGGCACTGTACCCCCATCCTTTCCCCGGTGAGGATGACCTTACCAGCCGTCCTCAGTGCCCAGCCACACAGAGCTATGATAGGCTTCATGGTCAACACTCAGCAGGTCCTCAAGGCTGCCCCGGGTGAAGGAACCACGGCCGGAGCGGCGAAGGGCACTCCCATCCATTGGGCTGGTGCCACAGGGCCCTCCAGGTCCAAAGGGGCCAGACAGAGGCAGAAAGCCTGGCTCCTGTTCCTCCTCCGAACTGGTTGTCTCTGCTGTGGCCTCCTTGGAGCTTGGGGTCTCTTCATCTGAGAAAGAAAATATAGTCTTTATCTCCTTTCGCCTCTCCCAGGTGGGGACCTGACATCTTTCTAGGCCTCAGTCTCCCGCTCAGTGCAGTCCTCCTGGCTATGTCCCTCTCTGTCCCTGAAGCTCTGCACCATTTCAGGCCTGTTAACGTGTTCGCTGACAACTTGGAACAAGTGTCTGGTACTAGCCTGGCCTTCTTCAGTCTGTTGCCATACTGCGGGCCTGAGGGACTGAGGACTCCATCCTGAACTTCACCTTCCTTAACCCAGAACTCCAGGGTCTTCAGGATCTGGCCTGATGATCCTACTACCGTAGGGTGCTCAGTGTCACAGCCCCCTCCACTTTGCTGGTTGGCACCACCTGTGCTAACAGTCCTGATACCACACCTCTGTCTACACTGGTCCCTTCTCAGTTAGCAGCTGGGTTGCCCCCTCCTCTGGGCAGGCCATCCTGCCTGACAGCCCCGAGTTGGGCACTCACTGCCAAAGCTGGAGGAGATGGTGGAGCGGCTGGCTTGGCTCTGCAGGGTCCCCGAGGGGCTGGGTGAAGACTCATCGTCAGAGTCACTGTCAAAGGGCACCAGTTCTGGACGGGGGTCACCCTCGGAGAGACTCGTTGCCATCTCCAGGCCTGAGCCTGCAATGGAGATGTGCAGGCAGGGCTGAGGCCCCCGCTCTGCCAGCGTCGCTGCTTCTTCGTCTGCGGCTTCGACGTCCAGTTCGGGCCCTGCAGACTCAGGCGCCATCTCCGTGGGGTTGCTCAGCGATGAAGGCTGCTCCCTGGGAGAATGAAGAATGCGGATGAGAGCACTAGAAGCAAGGCGCTGGCCACCCCATGGACAGACCCACACCCGCCTCTGCCCACATCGTCGACAGGCGCTCAACACACAAAGAACAGCCTCAGTGTGTGTTGGAGGCAGGGGTGCAGGGGCACAGGGACTCGGCCCCCCAGGCCCACAGTCCTGCCAGCCACCCAGGCCTCACCGGTGGCAGCGGCGCTGCAGGCCGGGCACGGCCCCGATGCAGAGGATACGAGCTGAGCAGACGGCGATGCAGGCCTCCACGTCCGGCTCGGCCCGCAGGCTCAGCAGACACACCTGGCCCACGTAGCCATCGCTGTTGCACACCCACACCTCTGGCGTGGGCTCCGGGTAGCTGCTTAGGGTGGGGGCTGCGCATGAGAACTGCAGAAGGCACCGGTGGAAGGGGAACATTAGCAGAGGAATTGCTGCCAGGCTTCCTCTCCCTACCCCCAGGCTGACCAGTAGAACTTGGAGGGAGGGTGGGAGAGAGGCCTGTGGTGGTACGAATTTCCAGTACATACACGTGTATGTTCTGCATACACGTGTAACACATACACAGAATGTACATGGTACTTTTTACTCATCAAATGCACATCCATGTGACAGGCCTCGTCCATGCACCCATGTATACATATAAGGACTCTGAACACCATGCATGTATATGCAGGCGCCAGATGTGAAAATGCAGGACACAAATTAAACATTCTCCATTACTCATATAACCTTTGTTCACATGCACAGATACAGGTGGGAACCGAACTATGCATCTGCAGAGAGCTACAGACTCAGAGATGCAGGGAACAATGGCAATATTCAAGACTTGAGCCTAATGAACACACAGAAACACCTGCACATACGCTGGCTTTCAATACATGCACCCACGTGACCCAGGTGCCTGCACTCACCTGCATGCCGCTGCGAGTTTTCATTATGGGGATGGCCTTCAGGAACTCAGGGTCTAGACAACTTTTGCTGGATGCTGTGATGGAAATGGGCAAACAGACAGACACTGCTTAGCATCCACTTCACTCTGATCCTGACCTTGTCCATTTTCCTTCCTCCACTGCCCCTCAGGCCTCTTAAGGAATAACGAGGGGCAGTGCATTATAACCTGCTTGTCCCTGGCCTCAAGTTAGCCCTCTGTACAGTGTGGGAAGTAGAATCAGTGTCTAAGGACCTTCTATGCCATGGACACTGGCCAGTAGCTTTCCCTGACCCAGGCCTGCTCAGAGGGTGTGTCTATGTGTTTGTGTGTGTGGAGATGGGGAAGATGTGGAGATGCTTCACTGCGGCATCTCGGCCACCCTTCTGCAGCAATGGCAGTCTCGGTTTTCTGGCTCTTGATGTTACGTGTCACGTCAGCTCTAGGGTACTGCTCATTGCCTAGTGACTGGAGGTTCTGAGAGGCAGATGCCAGCATGGGTCCTGGCTTACCCAGCTTTCTCTTGGCCTCATCAAAGGCCTGCTCAAAGCCAAGGCGGGCATCAGGGTGGGGGAACTCGAAGATGAAGGAGTCCGTGCCCTCGGGTCTCGTGGTACACAGCTCCAGCTTGGTAGGGGGGAAGGAAAGTGCGTAGCACAGCGCCTGCTTCTCTGACAGGTCCCGGTGCATGGCGGCCGAGAGGTCGCGAAGTGCATCGTCCAGACTCTGTAGGGAGAAGGACCAGGTCTCAGGCCCCAACACCTCCCCGCCCCCGTAGCTGGGTCCTGCCTGCCCTACTCAGCAAGATGTGCCTAAGCCGCCCCCCTCCCCACCACCTCCAGCCCGGGGGTCGGGCCCTCTTTTGTCCCTTTGTGGGGACAAACTCGGGCCTGGAGCACATGACTTCCCTCACGTGGGTGAAGCTGTATTTCCCCTTAGTTCAGTGACGGAACATTTCCCTGCTTAGGCAAATGACAAGTTTGTTATGCCCTCCTCAGAGTCAGGGAACCCCCACTTTCCTAGCCTCAGGATGAGGGCACAGACCTGGTGGGGGAAACCGAGGCTCTCAGAGAGTTTGCTCATTTGCCCCAGGGTGGACAGGTCCTCGTCCAGGCGGCTGATGGCCTTCTGGATGTTCTCCCGATTAGTGGCTTGGGATGCCCCTGGTAAGGACAGAGGAAGGCCATGGACAGATCCAGAGAGAGACCAGGTCAGACCTGCATGGACATTCCTCCCCTCATCACACAACTTGCAGCTGGGGGAGGGGAGTGGCCGACAAACAGCATAAGCCCAAGTCCCTGGGAACTAAGTCAACGGGTATCTCACAGAGAAATCCCAAACCTGAGAGCAAGAAACGGCCTGATTCTGAACCACATGACTCGGAATGTTGGATGTTTAGGAACTCCATGGAAAAGCACAAAGAACGAACAGCAGACAGTCCTGCAATTCATGGACACAGCAGCTAGTGCTGGACTTGAGGAAGTACAGGCAGAACCTGGGCCGTCAGACTGCTGACCGAAGGACCCATTCCCCTGCCCAAAGGAGGGAGCACTGAGCTTACACCGGTACTTCTGTGGTCCACCCTGTACCTGACCACTGTCAAGCAGCTGGTCCCACAAGCCAGCTCAGCACCCCTCACCCCACACTGCCTGGCTGGCAAAGCACACCCTAGCCCAAAGCCTACAAACGGCAGAGCAGGTATCAGTGGAACATACCAGACAAGCCAAGGGAAACTGCTCCCTGCCCCCAACCCTCACCACCTGGGCAGTCACATTTTCTGCCATGACTTGGCCCTACTCCTGGCACAGCTAGACCAGCACTAGGCACCCAATCTAGTCACTTTGTCAACTAGCCTGTTCTTTAGTGATTACAAATAAAAATTATTTGTCTCTGGACCAATAATCAGCTTATATTCCTGCAGAGGTCCTTGTGGGGCAGGTCTAAGGGTCTACCTAAGGATGAGCAAGCCCCTTCCTTATGGGGTTCGGGGCTGAGAGGGCACCTCAGGGGAGTCTGAGCTGAACTGCTTGTTGATTCAGAGGTGCATACACCACCATTCCGACCACCCCACTCAGTCCCTCAGGAAGGTAAACTGGATCCTGGAGCGGCGAGGATACAGAGCTGAGGGAGAAGGGCCATGATGCAGAAATGGACGATGGGTGGGGCAGGAGAGAGGGAGGCAATGGGGAAGGGGAAAAGGGCAGGGGAGAAAAAGACAGGAAGCACATACAGCAGGTGGAGTCGCCCCCTGCAGCCACCTCAGCTCCCGAGTCTCAGTCCCTACAGCATGGCTCTGTCCAACCGAGCATCTGCGTGGACGGCCTGGCTGGCTTGGGGAGCCTGTTCCTGTGCACCAAACTACCAGACCACAACTGCGCTCCATCATCTAACATGAACTCCCTTTCATGAGTTCGTGCAGTGGGTCAATGGTAATTATGGGGTGTCTGCACTCTTCCCACCACCCCCTACCATTCTAGGTCAGGTCCCAGGAGGGTCAGAAGGGATCAGCATGGACAGGTACCGGTTTGGCTCATGGGTGCCAACTGCACCCTACCTACCAGCCCCACTACACCAAATGGGAACATGAAGCCCCAAAGCAGCAAAGCAGGTGGGTAGGCAACCACCAGGCTGGCCACTGCTCAAACCCTCCAGAGGGCTACTCACAGGAAGACCCCCACACCGGAACCCTGGGCAGGCCTGAGCCAGCCCCACCTTTGATGATGTCCGCATCTTCCAGGGGCAGCTTCCACAGCAGCTTGTACTTGCTGGCCGTGTCAATGACGCTGGCTGCCGTGTACCTGTAGGGAACCAAGGGGGTGCTCTGGCCACTGAGGAGGGGTGGGGCCCGGGAGGATGACTATTCCCTCGCGGAGTCGCCCAGCCCCTCCAGTCACTCACAGGCTCATGGAGCTGCGCCGCAGGGAACCTGATTTCCTCTTCAGGGTGGTGCAGACAATGAGGTCGGTGAACAGGAAGAGGGACCGGTCCTTTTTGCCACCAACTGCCTTCTGTGGAGCCCAGGTCTGGAATCAGGTCCCAAAGCCCACTCTCCTGCCCATGCACCCCAGTCGACAGCCAGGTCCAAGGAGAGGGGCTCCCCTAGCTGCCCAGGAGCAGAAGTGGAACCCATGGTTCCAGCTGGGATGGACAATCAGGCTGAGCCATGGCATAGGTATGAGCAGCAGTGTGAAGGCACTGGGGAGGTGGGGCCGGGGGGGGGGGCAAAGGGACACCACTTACCACTTCAATGACCATCTCCTGCCTCAGGAACCGTCGCATCGGGGCCTGGAGCTATGAGGCAGAGGCAATAGGGTGATGATTAATCTTTCTCTTTCCCTAGGCCCCAGGGACTATTGGCACCCCCTCCACGGGCCAGGCCACCCACTCTCCCGATGCTGTGCTATCAGACCTTGTGACACATGGCCAGAAACAGACACACATGCAGACAGAGAAGTAAGAGCTGCTGGTAGACATGGACACAGCCGAGATGCCCGGTAACCACAGGTGCAGACACAGGTCGAGCAACACAGGAGTGGAAGGGTTAAGGCAGGGTGGCACGCACATCCTCCATGCCCTCGATGTGAGCCTCGATCTCCTGCAGCACACGGGCATGCCGTTCTGCTTCCTCGGCGCTCCGGACGCCCTTGTTGATGCGTTCAGCCACCTGCTTGATGTTCCGCTGTGCATCCAGCAGAAGTGGGTGGTCTGGGTGGTCCTCAGGCGTGTGCTTCAGGAGGTCCTATGGGGGGAACAGGGACCAGACCCGTCTGCTCAGCTGCCCCTGACAGGCCCAGGGGACCCACACTGCCAGCTAGAGCAGAACTATGAGTAGACAAGGTGGACTTCCTTTTCTACCTGCTGCCTTTGGGAACCCTAATGCTAGGCTCACCTAGGCAGAGGGCTCAGAGCCCCAGGCATCCCCAACTGTGTACCCAGCCCCATGCTCACCTTCACCAGAAGCTCGTAGCGCGGGATCCGCTGCACGGGCTTGATCATGAGATCGGACAGTGCCTGCTTCTCCTTATTCTCACGCATGCTTTGCTGAAATTCAAAACAGGGTAGGTAGTAGTGACGTGCAAAGAAGAAAATGTCCAGGAGAAGCCCCCTGTCTGCCCCTCCAGTTCAGCAGGAGGACAGAGAATGACCCACTGGCTAGGCTGTGCTGCCCAGGCTGGGAGCTCCAAGGAAGCCCAGAGCTGGTCCAAGGTAGGGGTGACCTTCCTCCCATGCCCTGGCCCACAGTACCTCCAGGAACTTGAGAAAGGCCGGCCTCGCCTCCTTAGCAACACGCACGGCATCTTTTGCGTTGAGAAAGTTATCGATATAGGCAGAATAGATATTGACCAGGACATCCTTGGAAAACTGTGGGCGAAGAGGCAGGTTGGAGACTCTCCACACATCCCTTATCCAACCTCATCCTGTCCTGGTTTCCACGGATTCATGAACATTGTTTCCCTCCAACTAGAAGTGACACAAGGGACGTGGCACAGGAGTAGTGTATGTCATGTTTGTGTGACCTGTATCTTGTTTGTGATGCCTATTGTGCATATGTGTACCTGGATATGTTCTGAGCTCACACGTGGCTCTCTTCCTTCCAACTAGGCATTTCCATCTCTCAGTCTCCGATTCTCCCTCCTACCCTCCCACCCTCCCACCTCATGTCATGTGTGACACTCATTTCAGACACCTGAATGCTCATGTAATTCTCCCCGTCAAAAATGCTCTACCCCTCCAAATCTCACCCTGGCTCAGGGCTAAGCTCCAGGCTGCCTTCTTTAGGAAGCACTCTTGGCCCTGACTAGAACTCTGCCTGGAACTACAGCTGGCCTAGGCCACCCCTGATCCCCAGTCTTCCCTCTCCAGTAAGACAGGCATCCCCACTCTACCCAGTAAGGTCCCGCTCAGGGTTGGACACAGAGCTGGTAGCTCACACCTGCTGGTCAGCTGGTGCCTGGGCTGAATGTGAGGGTTCTCGGTTAGCAGTCGGGACACACCCCAGGTCCTGTCTCAGCTGCAACATGAATGCACACAGAAACCTGAGCTTCTGAGCTTCTGCCACTATAAAGTGTCAATTATCCTTCCTCAGGTGTGTTGAGGGCAGAGGCTGAGGCAACTCTGAGAGGAAGACCAGCCCCACCAAAAGTCCCCCATCCTGGGTCAGAGCATCTGATGCTGACCCTCCCTGGGGCCAAGGGCTACCATTGCAATGTATAGTCAACATCAAGGTCGGAGCAGGGGTGAGCTTAGTGACACCGAGGGTGGTGGCGGCCTGGGGATGTCAGCACTGTGAAGGCCCCATTGCTGCTGGACCAAGGTTCTTACCACATCTGTTAGCTGGTCAGCGGGGACCTTCTAAGACCTTTTCAGGCCTAAGGCTCACCCACATTAAAACACACCCACACCTGATTCGGTGATGGGAAACCCAAGGGGATTGCAACTGAGATGGAAAAATGCACAAAAATATGTAAAAATAAACTAATATATATATAAAACAACACCCACACCTCACCTCCAAAACATATGTTACTACTATAATTGGGAGGAGCATGGTAATTTTGCTTGTGAAATTAGTTGATTCTGAAAAACAGTTTGGTTTGTTGAATTTAGCTATGATTTATCAGTCACCACACATTTTTGGGAATTTCTAGCAAAGTAACAATGCAACACACTTTTTTCAAGTGTAACTGAATTCTCATGAGTACTAAACTTGACAATTTGAGAAAAAGGCATGTTATACTTTATAGACATTTAATAAATGTTTGAGTTGTGCTTTTGTGACTCTTTTTGAGTTTTGAAACCAATGCCTTTCCTAAGATCCGCATCACTACTGCAGAGTCTTAAAAAGCTCAAGGAGGAGGTTTCACCTGTGGCGAAAGCAGCACAGGATGGGACAGAACACAAGTGCTGAGACCATGACTCTGGGGCTGAATCCTCCACTTACTATAACTTTGATCAGGTTATTTTCTCTAAAGTTGATGTAGGGTTATCAACTTTCAGCTCAAGGGAATAGCTGCACCTCCTTGTTTATCTACATAGAAACCCCTATAATGTATTTAAATATGCCTAGCATCTAACGAGAGTAAGACTGTTAGTTGTTGTTACTAAAATGCCTGATGGAGAAAAGAACTACTCAAGGTAAAGACTGAGGTCAGCAGCTGCAAGACTAGATCAGCATCAGCAGCAGTTCAGGGTCAGGGCTAAGGTCAAGTCAGTGCCAGTAATTGAGGTTGGCTTCAGGATCATGTTGGGATTAGGATATGTGTCAGAGTCCAGCCACGGTCTGGGGATGGGCAGTTTCCAGGATCAGGTCAACTCAGAGGCTGGGGTCAGAACGAGCATCAGGTCAAGTTCTGGGCTGAGATCTGAGAGCAGAGTCAGTATCTAGGGGAACACCCTGGGTGAGGGGTCCATGGCAGCATATAGTCCTTTCTAGGGGGGCAAAGCTTGCAGAGACTGCAGCAGTGAACAGCGGGACTACTCACCGACTGGACAAGCAGGTCTCCCACCTTCTGCTGGGCATGCCAGGTCTGCACGCAATGTCGCACCTGTTCCAGGAACTGCTCATGGTGTTCCAGAAGCTCAGGAATCTGGTCAAAGATCTCATCCACCAATGACGGGTCACACAGCAAGGAGTTCTCTGGCTGTTTCAATGGTTGCATGTAGCCCTGGGGGGGCCCATGGAGTCAATTCAGGTCCCCTCAGAGCAACGGCACCCCAACCTGCTGGCATAGCTGTGCACAATTTCCCATGCCTGCAGCTTGGCAGCCTTACTCTGTGGATCTCCTTTTTTTTTTTTTTTTTAAAGATTTATTTATTTATGCTTACAGAACTATGGGTACAGGCCAGAGGTGTGGTAGGTGAGAGGATTCACCACAGACAGAGTAGGGAACAGAACAGGCAAATTGACAAAGCGCACTGCTGAGGGGAGCAGCGGGAGGGTCAGAAGAAGTCAGCTCCCTGGTGGGGGATCGAACTCATGCTGCAGTGGCTTCCGAGAGCTTCATAATGCAGTGCTTTAACCTGCTGAGTCACCAAGGAAAGCCCTGGATCTCCTTTTATTGAAGGAGAGAAATGGGAAGACCTAGCCCCATAACCCTCATTGTGTAGCGCAGGGCTTGGCACAAGATAGGGGTGAGCTCAGGAAAGGTTTCTGGGATGTATTAACAAATAATTTTGGAGTGAGAAAAGCAAGAAAATTGGGGTCCCTGGAAGACTCCCCCCCACTGACTCAGCAAATATTTTATTGAGCGCTTACTATGTCATACTATTCTAAGAACTTGAAAATAACACTGGACATGAAATAACAAAAGTCCCTAAATTCTCTGGCTTATCATTCATTTGACACACACACACACACACACACACACACACACACACACACTCACAGTCATACATTCACAGAGTAAACCACTTTTCATCAAATCTAAGATGCACTGTTTTCTATTTAGGCCAAAGAAAAAAAAATGGGTTGCCCCCGAAATTACGATATGTCACCAATTACAGGAAGAACCCTGATTTCAGAGATGTTGAAATGTGAAGAATGTGTCTTAGAATGGATTCCATCTTGGAAAGTGAGTGGTAAGTTTAAAGATGGTAATTGCTGTGGAAAAAATAAAGCAGGGAGGGATTCAGGAAATTATTGGTGGTCTTTAGTGACACACGTGAACACTGTGTTAACAGTTTTCAGATAGTCTAGTCAGTCTATGACAAAAACGCCTATTTTTCACATTGAATCCACATCAGGTGATGTTTCTGGGCAGGCTGCCCTCTGCTGGCCGTAACTGTAACTACAGATAAAAGAAATGGGTGTGTGTTGGCACAAAGTATATTCAACATTATAGTACAATTTACATTAAATATTTTTTTTTAAATCTGGTTTGTTTTGTAAAACAAACTCGAGAAAGTAAAGTTCAAAGAATCCTTTCGCTTGGCTGGGGATTCTGAAAGGCCATGGGATGGCAGTGAGGAGCGAGGCCGGCGCCTCCCTCTCGCAGCAGGCCAGCCTGAGCCAGCACCAACTCTGCATCAGCTTCTGTCACCCCACAGGAGTATGAGCTAAACAGCTCACCTCGCAGTCCCAGCACCCCACGTAAAAGCTGTGGGAGGAAAGAATAAACAGCACTGAGAACCCGATACAGAACCCGCTAGGAACCAGTGTCTGTAGGCACTCACTACCTCCTTGTCGAACAGCTTCTGTCAGCACCTGGTGGGCAAACCAATGCCCTTGCTTTGTGGAGCTGACATCTTAGAGGAGGGAGGCAAAAAAGAGGCGCCATAAATAATGAGATGATGATGCAGTCTGTTAAAAGGTGGCACGTGCTGTGTGAGCAGGGTCGGGAGTGTAAGCAGGAGGGGGCTTGACAGATGGGAGTTTGGGGTTGAAAAAAGGCTGAAAGGGTGAGGGTGATGCTGAGGAAAGGGGCAACCTATCCAACCTGGGTTCAAGCCCTACCTCCCTCTGGCTTTTAAGCTTGGTAATTTCACTTTCTTCATTTTAATCTCCAGCCTGCAGGAACAATACCAGTCTGTGTGGGTGGTAAAGGTCACAGCAAAGGAACACAAGGCTTAAATCTCAGTCTGAGTACCTCTGAGCCGCAGGCAGTGTAGACTAGGGGTGAGAGGGAGGACTCTAGAGTCAGACTGACAGGGGTTCAACTGAGAGGCTGGCTCCTCCTTGATCTGTGACCCTGAATAAGTTGCTTTACTTCCCCCGTCTCAGCTTCATCATCTGTAAAATGGGGGTTATAATGAGGTCTACATGAATTAGCTTATGGAAAGTATATGCATGAAGCAGTTAACAACTGTCAATTTTTAATATTACCAGTTGTACAGAGTGAATTTCTGTCTCTCCAAAATTCGCATTGAAACCTAATCCCCAATGGGGCAGTGTTTGGAGGCTGGGTCTTTGAGAGGTGAGAGGCTCCATGAGGATGGGGCCCTCCTGAATAGGACGTGCCCTTAATTTATGAGGGAGACTCCAGAGAGTGCCCTTGGCTCCTCTGCCCTGTGAATATGCAGTGAAGAGATGGTGGTTTATAAACCAGGAGGCAGCTGCTCACCAAACACACTCTACCAGCACTTGATCTTGGCCTTCCCGGTCTCCTGAACTCTAAGAAATAAATCTCTATTGTTTAAGTCTATGGAATTTTTGTGATAGCCGCTGAGATACACTAGGACACCATTTAATAGATGGAAGATACTGGATAGGTTTCTTAATCCCTCTGAGTCTTCACTTCCCCATCTAAAGAAGGGGACTTTATCTTACAGCATTAATACAAGGTTAAATGTGATTTTTACACACACGCATTCAGAGTCGTCAGGCAGCATGCTAAATTATACACGCAGCTCTCTTGCAATCTGTACTGCTATTGTTGCCACAATACAGTCAAGGAAACTGAGGCACAGACTGGTTATTTAACTTATTCCAGGCCACAAGGCAGGCCAAGTGGTAGATCAAGTTTGAAAAGCAGTGGCCCGGCTCCAGAGCTATGGTCCTGACTCCTGGCTGGACACGGGGCCACCTCCAGCAACAGTCCTTGAGTCTGGCCCACTCCTTCCTCCTGCCCACCTCCTCCCTTCCCCACACATCTGCTCAGTTTGGCTCCCTCTGCAAGCCCCTCCCTCGGCTCTACACCCGCAGGTCCTGCAAGCCTCCACGTGTGCAGCCCTGTGTCAGCCTGAGATTCAGAGACAGAGGGACACGCCCAGGCACTGCCTGCCTCCTCTGCATGAACAAGGCATGGGCGGCCTCATCACCTTTTAATCTTTACCCTGAGAGACGGGTATGATTAGTTACACTTTGCAGAGGAACACACTGAGGCTCAGAGAAGTCAGGTGATTTGGCTAGTATCACCCAGCAGCGTGACCCTATGTGACCCAATGCCTTCAACTACCATTAGGGAATGACAAAGACCCTCATCCCTGCCTCCCTGCACAGACCCCTGGATGGCTACACTTCCTGCAGAGCAACCAAATCCATTCTAAAGGTGGAATTCCAGTTGTGTCCCTCCTATGACTTCTTCATACTTGCGGCGAAGTCTAACTTCCGTCCAGCAGCCCCTGGGGCCTGCACGGCCTGGCCCTGCCTCCAGCCCAGCCACAGGTTGGTGACCCCTTCATCCCTAACTGCTCTATAGCTCCTCCAGGTCCCAGTCTGCGTCCCCTCCACCTGGGCCTTGGGCCCTCCCCCTGCTCCCTCCTACCTGCCCTCAGGTCTCAGTTAAGCACTCCAGCCTCAGAGAAGCCACACCAGGGCGGGCCTCCATCCTGCATCCTCACATCAATGTGCGTCTTTTCCCCAACATACAGGAGGAATGTATTTTTTTCCACCACTATCCCTGACATCCCCTTGACCCTTTCTCCATCTCTTACCCTCAGAAACCTCACTTAGTCCACTAGTTTTTATAAGTAATTTACTTTGTGGAATTGTCCACTATGTAAATATCCAATATTTGTCCTTGTCATAATGACTTGCTTTACTCTGCTACACATAATTCCCTTGCTGTAAATGGAAGCATTTCACTGATGGTTAAATAAGTATCCCCGTTAGTGTGAACATACCATATTCAGGGGCAGAAGCAATGTATTCTTTGTGGTACAATATATGTAGCATAAAACTTGCCATTTTAATAATCTGTAAATGTACAGCTTACTATACTCACCTTTAGTCCCACTGCTATATCACCCGGCCAGAAGCCCAGGCCTCATCCCAGACTTTCCTACCTCACCCCCCAGGCCTGGCTTGACCAGCCCAGCTCCAGTCTGCCCCAACTTTCCCTCCGTCCAGTCTCTGCCCTGGCCCCTCCCTCTATCCCTCCCCTGTCCTCAGTGGCCTTGCCTCCTCTTCTGCCACCCACCTTCCCAGCAGTCAGACACACTTGTAAGGCATGAGTAAGGCATGTGGTGACGCACCACACATGCTCAAAGCCTGTCATTGACTCTCCATGTCCTCGGGGCAGTTGAAACCTTTCTCCTGATATTCAAAGTCCCCACTGCTCTGCCCCAGCAAGCTCCTTCAGTATCACCACAGTTCCAACCCCTTGAGCTCTGTGCTCAAGGGACCACTGAAAGGGCCAAGCCTCTCCTTACTGCTGCAGAGACGAAGGGACAAGCAGAAGCAGCACCTCCCCGGGAGGGTGACCCTCACTTCATAGGTGTCCTTCCGAGAGTGCTCGTGTACTCAACTATGTCCCCAGCAGGACTGTGAGCTCCCGCGGCAGGGCCCTGTCTTTCTTATTCATCCTTGTGTCTTCTGTACTTGGAATGGGGCCTGGCACATAGTAGGGGCTCAGCACTGAATTCCATTTGACAAATATTTTCCTAGTCAATGAATAAAATGGAGGAAGGCGAAGTCGAGGGAGTTTACCGGACTAAGTTCAAACCCCGGGCTGCCATGAGAAGTGGAAGGAAAGTGGGAGGGGACACCAGCCCAAGGTGGCTTGGTTTAGCCTTGTTAAGGCTCCTCTGTGTTCTCTCTTGCTCTGGGGGGGACTTCCAACTCAGGGGCAGCCCTGTGGGGAGTTCTTCAGAGAGGCCCGGCATGTCCCAGGGTCACTCCTCTCCAGGTGTGGCCCCTTGGACATGAAATGGGCTTGTCTGACCACCTCCTGGACTCAGTATGGCCACTCGCAGGGGCCTGGGGTGGCCATGAGCCTCACCTGCATCAGGGTGCGCAGTGACTCCACATACGACTGCTCTGTGTCCAGCAGGGTCATGGTCACATGCTTCCTCATGTCCTGGGGGACAGAAGGCAGAGGGTGAGCAATGCGTTGTTCCCTTCAGACCCCACCATGCTCAGTCGCACAGGCCCAGAGATCCCATCCATACCCTCTCCCAGGATTTCAAGACCTGCCTGCCATCATCCTCCCCAGAGCAATTAGACCTCCCCGTTCGTTACCAGTTACCAGGTTTTGCTCACAGGTGCCCCCCGCAGGGGGCAGCCTTCCCCTTCAAACCAGGTGTGCCCAGTGTGTGCTCCTCAGGCCTGGCACCCCCGCCCCACGGCTATAGGCAGACCTAGAGATCTTCTCTTGGTTCCCCTGTTGGGGCCTTGAAAGGGCATCAGAAAAACGGCAAAAACAACAACAACAACAACAAACCTCTTATATTTGCAAAGGAAGCTGCCAGGGTGATTCTCCCCGTTCCACACCTCCACCCGCAGCTGCCAATTCTGAATGCCCCACCCTCAGGTTCAACACTGTGAAGTCTGGCTTTTGGCAAAGACTTGACATAGAACAGGCGTTGCCCTGCCTCCCCGGTTGGGTTTCACATGATCCCTGAGAGTAGAAATTGTCACCCCCTTGAAATCAAGGTAGCCCGGAGAGGTAAAGTTGGTGACTGTCTCACAGCTGGGCGGGGGCATGTATCCACTGGCTCAGACAAGGCTGTGTCCCAGTTCTCATGTGTAAAGGTAACTGAGCCAGGTGCTGTTCTAAGTATCATTTTTAATCCTTCTGACTTCTTTGTGAGGTAGACATTGTTATTCTAAGGATGGGGAAAAGGAACCCAGGCAATAACACCTCCACCCTGAAGATCTGGATCTGAACTGTGGAGTCCTTGGGAGTGGCCCAAACTCAGCACCCCCAGGGACAGGGTGGGCAGCCCAGTCAGTGCAGCCCCAACTTTGCTGGAACGCTTTGCCAGAAACCAGCTCAGAGGTGCCCGCTCAGTGTTCAACTCTTCGGGACTTGTTTTGCCTACTGTCCCTCCACAACAGTGCCTAAGTCCTGGCCTATCCTTCACGGAAGACTTCCCAGATGCATCAGCCCCGATACTTCTCCTTCCAGGCAGGGGTTCCACTCCAGGACTCCCCTAATTCCCTAGAGTTGTCCTGAGCAAGGCCCTAATGCTGTGGGGCCCAGATCTTTGGGGATTTTCTCTTTTTCTGTTTTCCTCCCCAGCCTCAGATTGGCCAGAGCATCTATCTGGACCCTGTCTCAGGCTCTAGCATTTAAGGAGTGTCTGAGTAGATTCTCTTCACATATGGCAATACCAGGGCGGGTGTCCATGTCTGTGGCATCCCTCCAGTCCCCTCCCTAGAAGCCTTCAGGCTAAGAACTTAACCAGTGGGCTGTCCTGGTTCACTCCTGTGCCCGGGGTCTCTATGTGCTAGGTGGACTGGAGCCCTGATCCTTTCTAGTCTGCCTGATCCAGCCACAGCTCACTCCTTTGTTTGTGGGATGCCGCTCTCTGACCCAGGGACTCGGGGATAAGGCCTGTCCACCAAACCTATCCTCCAATGAGGTACATTCAGAGAAGTGGGCTCCTCTGCTAGGAAATCAGGGGTGAGGAATGTGAAAGACACCCTCAGGGAAGGGAAGGAGTCTGGCTTGCTTCATCCCTGCCAGTCCTTTGCTCTGGTGGGTGAGAAGGCCCAAGGCCTTCCTCAGAACATCCAACTGCACAAGCCACACTATCTATCCTTAGCACTTTAGGGCCCTTAAAACAAAAACAAAAACAAAAACAAAAACAAAAACAAAAACAGCGCAGCTTCCCATAAGAGGTAGCATGAGTCAAGCCCACCCTAGGATGGAGAGCTAGGGAGAATACCAAGGGACAGAAGAGCCTCCCACAGAAGTGTGAGACCTAATTCTTCCCTAGGCCCCCAGGGCCATCTTGGCATGTCACAGACATGGCCTTGTTTCAGCCTCAACTCACATGTTGTCACCATCTCTGTCATATGTGAAAGAGTAAAATCAGAGAAGTGACAGGACTTACCTAAGGTCACACAGCTAAGTGATCAGCTGTAATTAGTCTCTTCAGCCCCTGCAAGCTGACTCTGAAGGGTCTAGCACCTGGAGTTCTCACCCAGACTGACCACCCACCGGTGGGTCACAGGGTTCCTGTCTCTGCTCTTACCAGCTGTGTGACCGTGGGTGATCACCTAGAGCCTTCTTCCTGGGTTTCCAAATTCCCCTCTGCGAACAGGAACAAAAAAAAATACCTCCTTTCCAGAACTGTGAAAGCAAGTCAAGGGGAGAGCTAGCAGCACCTCACACACATGGGGGATTCAATGACCACTCTTACTCCACATCAGTGAGGCTGTTTATTTATGCCCAGCTCCCTGCTAAAGAGGGAGTTCCTAAGAGTAGGCCTGAGCAATGCTCAGCTCTGGGCTGCAACCTACCCTCCCTCCCTCAATCCCCGGACCAGGTCAGGCCCAGATGGATGTGGTAGGGGTCATGGGCAGGAAGTATTCCTGAGGGAGCAAGGTTGCGGCTGGCCTGTGGCCTGGAGGGCTAGGGTAACTCAGGGAGGCTGACAGTGCAATGCCCAGCCCCCTCCCTGCTTAAAAGCACATGGGCTGTCATTCAGCTGTGAGGCAGATGCATAGGAAACAAGGCCAGCTCCCTGTCAGTGCACTGAGCGCCCTTCCACACGTGCCCAGACACGGGTGTGAGCGTATCCAGGGTGGCAGGGGTAGGGACACAGCAGTCAGGGTACAGTTGTGAACAGATCTGTAGACCCTCCTGTTCCAGGTGGGACAGCCCTGTAGGCCCTGGCTCCCCCAGAGCCCCTGACCCCTCAACAGCCTTATCCCCAGACTTCTACTAAATGGGGCAGTGAAGTGGAAGGGGGATACAGCAGCAGGGATATCGCGGGAAGGCAGACGGGGCTCGTCCTCTTAGTACGACTGGAATATCATGACCCAAAGCCCGAGGCCCCAATACACAGGGAGTGAAGATAGAGATACATGTACACAGAAAGAAGCCATAAAGGTCGGGCAAGCCACAAAGAAACAACATATGCAGCCAACTCACCCAGCTGGGAACCAGCCCAGGGAGCAAGATGACCATCGCCCCCACTGGAGCCCTGGAGAGGGGCCCAGGCCCAGAGACACACACAAAGGCAGGAAAGCAGCCCCTGGAAGCCCCCTTGGCTGCAGGAGAACACACACTGAGCTAGGAATGGGAAACCCCAGCTACAGCCACAGCTACAAGGCCCAGAGAGTCCAGCACTGAGAGGATGGGGGTGGGAGGGAGCAAAACCGGCTACATGTCACCCCCTCCCTCTTCCCAGAACATATAAATCACCCAGAGGCTGCCGGTTCAGGCCTGAAAGGAGGCCTGAGAAACCCCCCCTTCCTGCGGAGCCCTTCCTGAGCTTGTGGACCCAGGCCACTCCTGGTCACAGCCTCTGCTACAAGCTAACCCATTTCACAAGCTCAGTGCCACTGGGCCTCTCCCAGCCCGAGACTCCGTGCAGGCCTCCCACCCCAGCCCAGCTTGCCAGTCCTTCAGCACCCCAAACTTGCATCTTGGCGGCGCCAAACCTCAGTACCCTGCTGGCCACACCAGCCTCCCCGTGCCCCTCACACACCCTCAATCACCGGCCCCCATTATTGGTCCC